GAACAGTCCTTTTCTCCTCATCCTCCTCCTTTGGTTAGAGGTGAACGGCGCGGCCGGTGGGCTTGACATCGGAGCGGCCGGCGGGATAGACTTCGGAGCGGCCGGCGGGCTTGACTGAGGAGCGGGCTGGTTCTGGCTCGGGGCCGGACGCTCTCCAGACACCGGAGTATCCCTTCCCTCCAGCTTAGTCCCGTGGTGTCTGGGAGGTCCATGGGCCGATGGTAATTGGCCCCCGTGCCAGAAAAGAGAGTTGAAAGAGAGAACTCCCAGGCATACTGGACAAAGGGGAAATCCCTACGGGCTAGGGCAATGAAGCGTGCGTCTGTTTCCATGTCGCGGGGGAGAAACAAACAGGAAAACAAAAACCTATTCAAAAACGGAAAACAAACACGGGGAGAGGGGGTGTCCCTTACTTTTTAAGGTCCAGTATTCTGTCACACTCCGCTACTGTGAGGAGCACGGAGCGAGGAACGAGGAGACGAGGAGTTGACTTTAAACACAGAGACTTTAATAATATTCGAGGAACCAGGAAATCACACGTAGCGGGGAAAGACAACATTCAATACCGGACGACAAACTCAGAGTAGGAAACACTTTAAATACACATGACGTGACGAGAAACACCTGGGAGCAATAAACATAATTGCACATGAGGGAAAACGGGGTCATGGGAAGCACGTGGGGAACAAAACACAGGACTGACAAAAAGCACTTTATTCACTTCTTTGCTTTATTGTTTTTCAGTAACTTCTTTATGTGTTTGTGCAGAAAATTGCATTATGCATTTTTATTCAGTGATGGAATATTCATAGTGTACTTTCCAGTAATACAGGTGTAACAGAAATGTTATAAAGTAGTTCTGTTATTTATTTATTATAATTATTTTGGTCAAGAGTTTGTATATGCTGTTGTACTTTTTAAATGTACTTAAGGAATGTATTGTTGAAATGTACACAGGATATGCATTAAAGTTTTCTAGATTTGAAAGTGTGTATGTGAGTGTGTCATGTTAATTTAATATTTTTGTGCTTTTGAATATACCATTTTAGAATGCTGAAAAATAGCTTTATAACAAACTAATAGTGTGCTGGTAATGCATTTCTAGTGAGCATTTCTAATGATGCTATTGAAAATGTTCTAGAAGCACATTAAAGTGAATCTTAAAATATAATCTACCTGAACTTGAAGAAGTATAAAAGTGTATTTTAAATAATATAAAGAAGTACAATTACACTAAAGATAGGCCTACTTGAAGTGGTTCCATTTTAACAACTAAATATATTAAAATATACTGCAATTAGCTTAAAGTTGATCTTAAGCATATCTTAAAGAGCACTTAACATACTTAAAGTTGTTCCAAAATAACACATTTATCATACACTTAGTATAGTATAATAAAAATATAATAAGTGCATCGATATTAGTACAACTTAACCTGGGTATTACCTGAGAAGTTCAAGAAAATATGCTAGAAATCCACATTCTTTCAGGCTATATCTGAATGGAATGATAAGTTTTATCCTGTTTATCTGATTATTTGATGTGCGTTGAAGTTGCTTTCGTTACTATAGCAACCCAACCCCCACCCCATACTGCCAAATGCCTTAAATGCAAATGCTCACAAATAGACAGAACTTTAAATGAACAAATAACTAAAAATTTTTTGGCCATTTTAAATCAAGCAAAACCTTCTCTAGAACCTCAACAGATCCTCAACTGATTGGACAGTGGATCTACACTTTGGTTGTTCAAGTCACGTCAGACCACATCGGCGACCCCAGTACAACCAGTATTATTTAAGTATGAGCTTCTTAGAAGATAAAGCAGGAATGTGAAATAGAATTAAAATATTTCATGAGAAATTCGACACCGTTTTCTGATTGCAGTCCTGTTGTCACAAAATTTTGGCTGTATAAAGTGCACAACGAAGGAGTTTTTATTATAATCCACAAGGAAAGCACAGTAAATCGTTGGAGGAACCCACGCCCACGTATAATACTGACAAGACCAGACAATGAACTGAGGAAACATAGTGCTCATATAGGGGATGATTACTGAAACAACAGTTGTGATGGAACTAATTACCAAATGTGACCCTGGAGCACAAAACCAGTCTGAAGTCGCTGGGGTATATTTGTAGCAATAGCCAAAAATACATAGGTCAGAATTATAGATTTTTCTTTTATGCCAAAAATCATT